TTTGATATTTATTTATTAATAAAACCAGTCTTGACTTCTTCATGTCATTCTAATTGAACTACGTACGGCACGCGAAATAATACAAAAAAAAACTATTGTAAATTAGGTACCTTTAAAACAGTTAAATCAGATAAAGAGAGCGAATTCGTGGGCAGTTCATAGATGCCTTCGGCATATTTACCACATAGCACTAGCACCCATTAAAAAAAGGTTAAAAATAACAATTAGCAACTAAATGGAGGAGATCATTAACTACAATGAAATTGTATAAAAAGAGAAACTCAAAGAGCAGACCCCTATTCGTAGAGCATCTCTGGCACTAACTTTTAAGTGATTAGACTAGGTAAAACAACTGTTAGCAGCATTTGAAAAGGAGTTGGGGAAGGTCGAAGGAAATCTCTAAAGTGTTGTGATCTAAGGCATGCACATACTGAACTATGTTTAAACACAAGCAAATCGAAGCATTTACATGATTAATACTCACAGCCGGATACGTGGTATGATATACATACTTATATTTGTATAGGTATTAGCTACATAGAATATTAAGATGACAGCACTTTTGGGTTTTTATCGTACAGCACAAACGCATAAGCAAAAGACATCACTTAGTGGTTTATAATATACAAGTCGTATAACAAGTTATTAAGCTAAAATTGTTACTAATGAATTAAGTAGAACTCCAAAACAGAGATATGTTCACTTTTCATCTTAATCAAACTGCCAAAGGATTATAAAACAGAAAACAATCAATGTAAATATTTCTGACGAGCAATTACTTGTTTTATGTTACCATTTACCATTTATGTTCGTAATATGAACACAAATTGTTTCCAATAAGTAGTAGCAGTAAGTTATATTCCTAAAGTTATACAGACTTTGTAAAAACTACTTGCGAAGAATAATAATAAACTGTATGCAAAACTACCATTTAAGTCACGGCCCATAACCCATAGAAACAATCAAACTTTTGGCAGTTGCAGTAGGATTAAGCCAACCCCAAAAAAAAAGCGTAAAAACAAGACATAAGTACTTTATTTTATGGATATTAAAACTAGGAAAAAAAATTATAAAACTAAAAACAAAACATTCACTGGCTGCAATGAGAATTTTAAAAATTTAAGAAACTGCTATATGCAGGTATAGTCCACACCCATATAAACCTATTAAAATTTCACCTACAACCAAAAAGTGTTTGTATAAAAAAAATATAGGTATGTATGATTTAGTCAGCATAAAAAGGTAAAAGGAAATATATAGGTACATAAAATAAATGAAACATTTTTGGTTGGCATTTTTTGATAGCAAATAACGTAAATATTTATAGCCGAAAAAAAGAACGAAACGCACTTTGTACAATTTAGTAAAAATCAAAGAAAACTTATTTTCAGACACACACCACAGCATACATATAAGATATTTTACACGCATTCAAATAAGAGGTCAAATAATACTGAAAAATATATGAAAACGAAAACAAATTAAATTAATTAAGAATGGCGCCTAGGCCAAAAATGCATTTTTGCTGCCGGCAAATTTGGTGGAAACAAAAAATAAGAAATAACGTTGGCAGTGCATTTAAATAGGTAGCTTTAAGTCCAGCTGGAAATGGATCGACCCATGCTGCAACTACTTTGTTGGCCACCAATGTCACATACAAAAACTCACATCTCAATCATCAGTTCGGTTCAGTTCCTTCTCTCAACCAAACCAAACCAAACTATGGAAATTTCTGTGCCAACTGTGTTTAAAGTAGAATTCAAAGATAAAATACGAATAAAAAGGAGAGCGAGTGAAGAAATTGAATTATGACAGCGCATAAAACATTGCATGTAATTTATTTGAAATATTTGAAAAAAAGACGTAGACGAAAAAGAGGAAAAAACTGTGTGCGAGATGGTAAATAATAATAAAATACAGACAGCTGTGTAAATAGTCGAACTGCGTACAGTCTACGCATATTTAATTAAAAACGCAAAATAGAAACCCAATGAGATGGAGTAAGGGAAAGGAGATCATGTCTTATGTTCAATATTTTTTAACTCCCTTCACTTCATTTCGCAGTTGGATAGCGTAAGTTTCACTTGTATGATAAATAAAACTAAACCAAATATTTATATAGAGATATTATACGTACATATATGAAAAAGAAAACCCTAAAATAATGACGCACTGAATCAAATAGATGAAACGAGTATTTAAAACCAAGACAATTAAAACCAAAAAGAACTTTAAACAAAAATAAAAGTGAAGAAAAAATGAAATTTAAAACAGAGCACCTGTCTTTATTAGCCGAATTTGGGACTGCGGGTGGATGGGTGAGTTGGGGGAATTGTAGGTGCAGTGCCAACTGTTCCGTTTGACGCTTGGGGGAAAACCGTTGGCCAAACTAAGGCAAACTCAAAATCGTGTCCAAATAGCTGGGAGTCAAGTAGGCCACAGATTTTGATTGCCCGCATCCGGGCGACCATCGGTGGACATCCTCGAAAATTCAGAACATCGAACGAGATGGTGTTAAAGCCAAGCCGGCTGCTTCGGGCGTGGGTTCTCACCGGTGGGGACTGGGACTCGGTTTTTGGTTTGGGTTGTCCATCCGTTCCTGCCCCGCCCAATGGGCGACGTTAACATTAACCCGCATAAAACATAAGCCACCGAGCCTGGTGCTCGTGTTGTGTGCTCTCCTTACCACAGATTCCCACTCCGCCCCTCGCACTCCCCGGTCTGCTCAGTTTCTGGCCCTGGCAACTTTGGCCCCTGGACTTGGCCAAAATGGCTTTGATAAGCGTGGGCGACAGAAAGTCCCGAAAATACTAACGAGGCGTGCCAAAGGAGTTTTCGTAAATACTTTTAAAAGGTTTAACATCAAGGTAACTACTTGGATATGTAAGAAAATAAATAGAGAGGTGGTTTTTGTTCTAATTATTATTATTTTTATAACCCAACAAGTAAAAATTTTTATTGGGGTTTGTTTTATAGTTAGGCTGGGAATGACAATAAATATTTATTATTTTGTACTATCATACACACAAAAAAATTTGCTTGGAAAAATTGACCAACAAAGATAGTTACGTAACTATTAAAATAGTTACGTGTATTTTGTTTTTGCTTTGGGTTTGTGTCTTTGCTAATTGTGTGTATTTTGTTGTTGTGAAATGACAATTTACTTAGTAGAATTGACAATTTTGCTAGTTGGGGCCTGTTTGACAATTATTACAGTTGATTTTACCAAGTTTTTTTTTGTGTGCAGTAACACACACATTCGCCTATTTATATTTGCACCTAGGGCCAATTGCAGTTGTTTACAATTGAGTGGCCAGCTCGGCAGAATCGCGACAATAACAAACGAGCAATTGGCAGCAAAAAAAACAATAACAACGGGCGAAGATACGGCCACCACAATTGGACAGCTGATAAACTTAACCCGAAAGCTGACAGCCCAACAACTCGTCAGCTTTCATGTTTTGAAATAGAAGAAAGAGTCCGATCATTCAGATGGCTTGTTTATCTCAATCGATTTGGCGAATCATCAGATGCAATCGGCAACAACTCGGCAAGTCTTTGGCAACTCACTGGAATTTTTCAGGCATATTTGCTTTCTTGGTGCTAATTACAGAAATGCCTTAAATTATTACCGTATAAAATAAAAGCATGTGCCGCCAACAATTTTTTTTTGCATTTTATTACCATATCTTAGGTGTTTTTATGTTGAGGCTGGCACTTTTCGATTTTTTGTCATTGTTATCGAGAAATTTACACGAATTTCCAGCTTGTTGCTGAAATAAAAAAAGGTTAGTAAGTTTGAACAATCAGTTTTTTGTCGTTCTTAAAAAAGTGTGGACCTAGCAGATAGTTGTGGGTAAACGCTTAAATTTGCCAGCCGTCTGACGCCAGTTAGTGGACAAGTAAGGTACAGTGCCAAAACAAATTTTGTGAATTTTAGAAAATAATAAATTCTTTTATTTTGGTTAAATTAATCAATCATTATTTTGAGTTATCAAATTAAAAACTTATTGGAAAATTAAAATTCTACACCGATTAAAATATCAAAGAAACTAATCAATTTATATATTAATTCTAAACTATTGAGTAGAATATCTTAATAAGATATGTATTAACTTAATACTTTCGAAATATTAACATTAAACGTTCGGTATAGAATTAAAGCTGCAAAATGTCAGCTTTATTACAGTATTAAATCAATACATCTAATATATTTTAAGAAAAAAGTTGTTTTTTCATATTTGCAAAGTAACTACTTTAAGCCACTGTGCCACAAGTTTTATATGTACATATGTATATACAGTGGAATAAGGGTCAATGAGCTTTGTGGACAGCAAGTGAGGAGACCGAGTTAACTTGACTCTTATAGATATTTTAGATTTGACTGTGGCCAAAACGGAGTATTATTATCCAGAGTTCGCCAACGAACGATATGAGAAACCAAAACTCGAGAAGAATCTTTTATTTATGCACGACTGGCCAAAACTAATCGATGGAAATTACAAAAGCGGGAAGGTCAACTTTTCGACTACCCATTAAGGGGGAGAAGTTCAAAGGTAAACCTGTTCTTAATTCTAATTCTCTTCCTTTAAGAAATAAATTGAAACCAGTCGAGCTGATCTTTAAGTTCTTCTTTTTGCCAACGTGGTTCTGATCACACGCAATATGTTCTTTTTGGTTAAAAATGATTGTTTGAGTTGGAGCGGCCAGCTGTTTCAATAGAGGATATTGGAACAAGTGCCCAAAATTAGATTCCTTGCGCGGAGAATAAAGAGACTGCTGTTTGCACGACCTAAATAAATATGTCTAAGTAGATTAATGTCAGATGTCGGGTAATAATAAAAATGTTACCACAGACAAATGGACTACAGTCACGTCCCCAAAGTGAGCCGACCCCCGAACAAAGAGCAGCGAAAAGAGCGAATAAACAGAGCCGAAGAGAGCGATCTTGGGCGCAGAAGAAAATGGTAAAAGCAAACTGCGGTAAGCCGCTGCCGACGTCTTAAAGTTGGCCAAAAAGGCAGCCAAGTGCCCCCAGGAACATTCAGTCAAGCCGCGATCGCCGAGCTCTACGGACGTCTCTCTCTCCAAATCTCTTCGTGAATCGGAGTGAACTTAAGTGCTGACCGGAAAATTCTTTCGGCCAAGAAAGTTCTTCGAAAAAGATCTCTATCGATTGTGTTTTTTGTGTAATTCCCGTTGGATGTCTCTGAACGCCGAACGATCGTACAAAATGAAACTGCGCGATGTGGAAAATGCCTTCAAGTACCGGCGCATACCGTATCCCAAGCGGTAAGTGTGAACCGTCCAAGAAAAGCCAGCGGAGAAAAGATATCTTTCACTGGAGAATGAAGTTCGATCCAAAGAGGAAATGCAATTGAGTTCCAGTTTATGTTTAATTGAAAACCGGTCATAATTGCCATTGAATGGCCTGAGAATAGAGTTGGTAGATTGAAAATTGCGTTCGCCTCACCGCCTGAAGATTAAAAAGACTTTGCTCTCGATTCTCCGTAAAAAGCGTTTAACTTTCCGTTTTTCGCAGCTGGCTAAAAGTGAAAGACATTTCAGGGTCGTCGCATTTGATAAATACAATTAAATAAAAACCTAAATTGCTGGCAAAACAGTTTAAACATTTTTGTTGGACTTTAAGTACTGCCAGCAAGTAAATTAATTGCAGCTATTTCTACACATGAAAAAAAAAATTTTTTTCTATTATTCAATTGCCTTTGGATCTCGTTTTGAGCTTTAAAAATTATGCGAATTTTAATGAGTTTGTTAATTGAAGATAGTTTTAAAAGTTTTAGTTCAAACAATCATGTCGGAACTTCAATACTGCCATCTAGTTAACTAATGGAATCTATTCCTACACATTGAAAAATATAGATATGTAGAAATAATTCATATTTTAATTGATTTTACAAAATTACAAAGTTATAAAAAAAATTGTAAAAGTAAAATATTATAAACATTTTAAGACGGCTTGTAAACTAATACCGTCAGGTAAAGTAGTGCTGTAAAGTTTTTAAACTTGTAAATTGAAAATAACACTAGTTTACAGCCGAAATGCTCCCCAGCAATTGATGGCAAATTCTGTTAGATTTGGATCCCTAGATCACGAAAATAGCACTAAAATTTTTTTCGATGGCACAGTTTTTTTTTAAAGATTTTTTAAAGTTTGAAATGTTAAATTTCGGACTTTTTTCGAATTTCTTCTTATATCTCGGCAGATATCCACTCGGTTGGGCCAGTTTTAGTTTTATTTTAAAGTCAATAGATCAGAGCTTAACTTTGCCATACAGATCAATACGATTGGATGAGTAATGGCAGCGCAGAAGCTTGACAAAGATGAAAAATGAGTTTTTTGGTCAAATGTAAGTCGGCTGTACATATCGTAAAAACTCGAAATAAATCCGTTGAAAAATCATAACGAGTACAAACATAAAGTTTGCATCCTACCAAATAAAACAAGCCGGATATGGCCCAAATCCATGGAAAACTGGATTTATGGTGGATTTTTAAAGTTTGGATTTTTTCACTTTTTTCGGTTGACAGAGTCCAAATTTAAGATTTATCATAGGCGGCGACATGTAAACAAAAATAATTGGTGTTGGCAGCCGGGTCACTAAATAAATTTAACATTTCGAACTTTAAAAAATCTTTAAAAAAAAACTGTCCCATCGAAAAAAAAATAAGTGCTATTTTTGTGATCTAGGGGTCCAGCACTAACAGAATTTGCCATCAATTGCTGGGGAGCACACCAAGAATATTATTTTGTAAACTAGTGTAATTTTTAAATTTTTATATAATTTTTAATGTTTTCCTATGTGCATTTATTTTTGTCTTTTTTCAATTCTTGCTCTAGTTTACAAGCTGCTATCTTGTTTATAGTTTTTTCATTGCTGTTTTTCATTTTCAATTCTTCTCATAATTCATTTGGTGTAGCACCTTGGGGCCAGTTTACAGAGATGAAAAAAAGGAAAACCACAAAAGCCGAGCTCAGCTTCAACTATTTCAAGTGGCCGAAAGAGCTCTGTCTTAGCCACTTCCCTCACACTGCATTGTCTGTGCCTACATTTTTCGGTGTTTGTTCTGGCCTTTTACAGAACGCAACTCGACTGAGTTCAGTTCGGTTTAGTTCAGATAAAAGTTAAGAGCCCGCTGACTTGACTGCCTGCTCATTAGTCGATGGTTGATGGTCGACGGACGGCGGGTTATTTGGCCGCCCATAACAATTTTGGCTATTAAAAGGTGTTTAGGCCAGAGATCTCAGCCACTGCGTCCGCTATTGTGCAATGTTCGCTCTTTTTTTACGTTTGTATGGCCAAAAATTGTTGCAACGAGTGCGTCGAGATGTAAACTAATGATATACTGACTTATGTTATGGACTAATTGGCTTTTGGGAAACGATTTTTTGCTCTTGTTGATTTTCAAAATCTGTGTGAGAATTTACTTTTCATCAGTCATGGCTAACAGATATTTGCATCTCAGTGTGAGGTATAATGGTTTGTTTGTAAGTTTCTTAAAAAAGATAACAATTGCTGGTAGCTAAATATTTCTTACCAATTTTAAATTCTTTCAACATTTGTAAAAGTTATTTTATTTCTGCGTAAAATGTATTAAACTCCATTAAACTTTTTTTGCCCTATTTATTAAGTCCCCTTTTATTAACGCGATGCGAATCCCATTTCCGTTTATTTGCAGAACAAATTATTACATTAAATGTATGAATTACTGGCGTTAATTAAACGCATGAGTTAAATGTATATATGTACTTTTTGTGATTACCACTCTCAGTAGCATAAATTTCACGCTCATTTTGATAATTTCATGCAGCTGCAAACTCTCAGTCAATCAGTTGGTCATTCAGTCAGTCCGACAATCAATCAGGCAAACATTTATTTTTTACACATTTCCGATTGCACAGCTGATTTAGCGAAAGGACAATCTTAAAATTTGCACAACAAAATTATGCAAATATTCAAATAAGGATATGATTTATAGCGAGTGAAAAGAATCTTCATGGAGTGAACAACAATTTCCCAGCAATGTGCGTTATTTGCACGACTCTTTTGTGCATTTCCAAATTGATATTAATTAATTAAATTAATTGGTTTTGCTTAAACAACTCTCCGACAGATGTTTGGCAGCTTCATTAACCGGGCACGCGATAAATAAGCATACGGAGAAAATGAGTTCGTTGCACTCAGTTGATAAAAACCTGTCAAATGGATTCATTTAATGAGTAGAATCAAACTGCGTTATGCAACACATTCCCGTGAATTAGCATAAATTACGTTGTCTGATTTGTTATCCATATAGATTAGGGCTTACCTAATACAACATTAACTCTTATTTTCACTGCAAGCCGAAGCGTGACAGGAATTATTTAGAACGCCCCAAAAACCGGGTCAAGTGGGGAAAAGAGACGGGAGATTCAAGCCAGAGAAACTGTAGCTGGATCTTCTGTGTCTTTCCTCTCGAAGTCTCTCTTTCTTACCAATTTCTTTCTTTCTTCGGGCGCCACGACATGCAGTCACTCACACTCGCGTAATTACTTTCAGTGATGTGCTTGCTTTTCTTTATTTTGTTTTCAGTTTTGTCTTGTGTTTTGTTTTATTTTGTCTGTCTTATTGCAATGGAAATGATGTATATTGGGGATTTTACACGCTGCCGGTGGGCCACGGGAAAGTTAATTATTGCCGTCTGTCTGCGGCGGGTGGCAAATTAAAAAAAATAATAACACTGGTCGACAAAAAAAAAGCCCAAGAATAAAAGCTACCAATCCTGAAAGGATTTTAGCTGTAGATTACTACCTCATACTTGAAAACATTCCATCACGTCGAAGTTTTGAGAAATCCGTGTTCAAAGTTCCAAATTTTCGATTTTTAGGCACTTTTTGCGACTTAATAGTAAGAAAACCCTTCGTAGCCCAGAGCCACAATTTAGCGGAAAAGGTACTTTGAACCTTTAACTTCAAGATTGTCCAATCACAAAGTTGGGCGACCTCTATTTGTTTAGCTACAATGGATTTTACAGAAGTACTTTTTGTCACTTTTTTTCATCTATAGTAGCCTGATATTTTCCTTGTTGAACTGAGACCCGTACACATTCAATACATTAAAAATATCAGGCTACTATAGATGAAAAAAAGTGACAAAAAGTACTTCAGTAAAATCCATTGTAGCTAAAGAAGTAGAGGTCGCCCAACTTTGTGATTGGACAATCTTGAAGTTAAAGGTTCAGGGTACCATTTCCGCTAAATTGTGGCTCTGGGCTACGAAAGGTTTTCTTACTATTAAGCCGCAAAAAGTGCCTAAAAATCGAAAATTTGGAACTTTGACCACGGATTTCTAAAAACTTCGACGTGATGGAAAGTTTCCAAGTATGAGGTAGTAATCTACAGCTAAAATTCTTTTAGGTTTTGTAGCGTTTATTCTTGGGCCAAGAAAAAGTCTTGATTTTGTCGACCTGTGTAATTATTAAAAACGAAAATTATTTTTTAAAATGTCCATTTTTTAAAATGCAATTACGCTTTTGTGGGCCTTACTTTCTTAAAAAAGGAATATAGGTGTTTTATTTGTACAAAAATTGGGTAAAATTACTTTTTATAACACCAGTATCGCGTAGAGTAAGAGGGATTAATGTATTTGGTGAAAAGTTTATAACAAATAGAAGGACTCTGATCAAGAATATATATACTTTATAGGGTCGGAAACATTATACCCTTTTACTCTACGATTAACGGGTATAATCATTTCAATAACATTTTATACTAGCTCACTATCTGCCACTGAAATATCTACGGACCCAATTAGTAAAATGATAGTATAGCCACTCAATGATATTTTGAAAAAAGTTTAACGTCTACGAAGTGTGCAGAACACTGAGGGCCAAATTAAGCTAACTTTAAGCCGCATCATCGGTGAAACTATAGCACCCTGCGCCTACATTTCGCTCCCTATTCACTGATAATTTCGCACGCAACTTTTGGCTAGTGAAAGCCCACAAAATATTCACATGTTTTGTATACATTATAGCAATTTATGACCGCAGCCGTTTAGCACCTTTCAGAAGAGATGACCAACAATTTTAGTGAGCCAATTTCAGAAAGCAACAAACGCCCACCATCAGTCTATAACTACATGGCTGTTATTAGTTGGTCATAAAAACAAAAACTTTGGTTATGCCTGTGTGGACACCGAAAACAAACGCCCTCTCCCACGGAAAATGAGATGAAAGAGTTTTTCTACATTATGTAAAAGCGGTCAAATGTCGCTCTGAGTTACGAATAA